TCTCCGGTGTCTATCCCAGCCATGCCCACGAAGCGTAGCCCCTAGTCATAGCATCTGGCCTCTCCGTTGGCAAAGAAGGCCCATCCGTGCACGTCGCATGCTGCATAGGAAACCTCATTGCCGGAATGTTCAGAGGAGTCTCGAGAAGTCAAAGTATGTGCGTACCCTTGCCCTTGCCCCGCAACTGCTCTTACATGGTACCGTATAGTGAAGATGCGAGAGATTCTGACAGCCTCAAGTGCGGCCGGTGTTGCAGTCGCTTTTGGCTCACCAATCGGAGGCGTATTGTTTTCTATCGAGGTAGGCGGACGTCGTTTCATATGCATGTCAAATGTCTGAAGAGGCATAGGAAATGAGTAGCGTGTTCAGCATCAAGACAATGTGGAGAAGCTTCTTTTGTGCTTTGGTTGCGACAGTCACCTTGTCTGTGAGCAATTCCGTCCACCATGTTACTCCATGTGGCATCTGAATATGACCTCAGGCAATGAATCCTTACCGAAGTGGCAAGCTCGTACTTTTCCAGGTCACCTATGACCGGGACTGGCATTTCTTCGAGATAATATTTTTCGTCATACTGGGCATCTTCGGGGTGAGACTATAACATAGTCATCATATGGAAGCTGTGAGCTTACAGTTCTAACAGGGTCTCTACGGAGCCTTCGTGGTCAAGTTCAACCTGAAGGTTGCCGCCTTCCGCAAACAGTATCTTGGCAATCACGCAATCGCTGAGGCGGTCACGCTCGCTACAATCACAGCCATGATCGGATGGTTCAACCACTTCATGCGCATTGACATGACCGAGAGTATGGCAATTCTCTTCAGGGAATGTGATGGCGCTGCCGACTATGACCATCTTTGCCAGTGCGTATTACACCTGAGGCCGAACTTCGTGGACCTTGTTCACTTATCGCTGACGTGCAGGTCCGCGTACCAGTGGCCAATGGTCAATTCGCTTTTTCTGGCGACAGTCCTGCGCATTGGCCTGGTTGTGATCTCGTATGGCTGCAAAGTCCCCGCTGGTATCTTCGTTCCTTCGATGGCCGTCGGGGCGACTTTCGGTCGCATGGTCGGTATCATGGTGAAAGCCGTGTACAAGTGAGTTGGCCTCTCTTGAGCTGCACTTAAAATGGGACTGAGACCGGTGTACTAGCGCGTACCCAAAGTCCGGAATCTTCGCAGTATGTCCGCCCGATGTACCCTGTATCACACCGGGAACGTACGCTCTCCTTGGCGCCGCTGCCGCACTGAGGTATGTTGCGGACATCGTTACATAGTCTTCTTTGCCCTGAATACTTTCATTTTAGTGGAGTGATGAGGCTCACGGTCACTGTGGTCGTGATCATGTTCGAGCTGACAGGCGCCTTGACTTACATTCTCCCGACCATGGTACGCCCCTCCGCGAGTTGCTTCTCTGTGTAAACTATAGAAGTCACCCCCAGATCGTCTTACTCGTCACAAAAGCGGTCGGAGACTTCCTTGGAACCACTGGCATCGCCGATGAGATGATTCGGTTTAACGGGTTCCCTTTCCTTGAAAAGGACGATTACGCCTACAACGTGCCTGGTATGACACTCGATGTATCTCTCGTCATCTGCTCATTGATGTCACAGTATCCCGGGTCATGCGCATGGACCTCCAAACGCTCCCCGTATCGGGATTGACTGTCAAAGAAATCGGTAGGTCGTGAACTCGTGGTTCCTGAATAGTACTACTAACGAGAACATATGTAAACATAGAGGAGATTCTCGCAGGAACGGGCGTCAAGGGCTTTCCTCTTATCTCAACAGACGGCAGACGGATCCTCATGGGGTTCATAGATCGTTCCGACCTGTTACATATCTTAGGTCCGTCCCTCCGACACACTGTTCGTCGACCACAGCTCAACGAAAGCGTCTCGGTTCGTAGACAAGGCGAGAATTGTACAGGATGTCCGTCCAGATACGCCAGTCACATTCGCGTCCGACTTAGAAGACCACGAGGACGTTGAGTTCTCTGGAGTCGCGCCAGGTCCTGCGCTCGGTGTGGACGAGGACGTCTCCATGGAGATCATGGAGTCGACTGCGACGACGGACGTGCTCAAGCTGTGGCCATGGGTTAATCAGGTATGCTCATCCGGCTTGCGTGCCATGACGTTAAGGCTGAGTGTCCTCCGACTAGACCCCGTTGACAGTGTCTCCACAACTGCCGCTCGAGATCGTTATGCAGATCTTCAAGCGGATGGGGTACGTCCGCTCATCACCATCACATGCGTCCCTACTCACGACGAATCATCGGATGTGTCCAGACCTCGCGTAATCCTTGTCGAGAATCACGGCGAGCTTGTTGGTCTCGTCACAGTCAAGGATGTATTACGGTTCACAACGTCTGAACACCAAGAGCCGCAATCACCATGGAGCGAGCAGCGCTTCGACGGCATCGTGGACGAGGCGCGAGTGTGGACGAGCAGTGTGGCCGACGACGTGGTCTCGTGGGGTCGGAGGGTGCTCCGAAGATCGTAATCTATTCAGCACGGGTCGTAGTACTAATCACAAGGTCGTCATACAGTCATACACAATCGTATAATACATCCCAGCTAACGTGAGCGGTCGTCGTCGAGTAGCGATACAAGGTCGTGAGAAGCGTAGTGTCGTGAAGGAGGCGAAGGCAGATGTGTGCTTTATGTGTTTTGGTCGTCATTGATGGTGTTGTGGGTTTTCTTGCGTTTAGCTGATCAAGAGCAGGATACATATGTACAGCTCCGACTGCCCTCTAATGAGCAGGAGCTTGTGTCATGATGAGACACGATCTATCTGTAGTAGTAGTGGCAGCTATAGATGAGTGCTTTCTCGAGAGAAAAAGCCGTGTGTACTCACACATTGTCAAGCCATGAACTTGTCCACTTCAGTAGTACGGACTGCCGGGACTCGGCGCATGCCGCGGCGGGACAGAAGACGTGCGGAGCGACGTCGGAGTGCGCGTGTACGGACGCTGCCCATGCCCGTCCTGACTCGCCGGCCGGTGGGACTGCGACTGCGACTGGTAGCTCCCGGCCCTCGAGCCCGTCCCCGAGCGCCGCCCGGCGGCGGCGCTCTCAAAGCTCTGGCGTGCGAGGCTCGAGTGCGTCCCGGTCCGAGAGAGCTGCGTGGACTTGCGCGAGGAGGGCGCGGAGGAGCGGGACATGCTCGTCGTCGTCTGGATCGTGCTCCGCCGCTCGGCCGCGCGCCGGCTCGGGCGGGGGAAGCCGTCCGAGCCGAGCGAGTATGCGCCGACGGAATCGGTGGGCGAGCCGTTTGCAAGCGAGACTGTAAGTGTATGAAATAGGGTGGTGTGAGTGCGCGCTCGGGTGGCGGACGAGCCAGAGGGGGTGCGGGGACGTACCTGGCGACATCCGGGGAGGCGAGAACTGCGCGAGGGGCATGTCGAGGCTGAGGATGCTGCCCATGGGAGTCCCGGTGGACGCCATGGTCGGCGGGCGAGGGGAAGCGCGGTACCCCAAGTCGAGGTGGAGCGCATTGCGCGGAGGACTCGGACTTGGGGACCAGCTCACGGGCCCAGCGCGCGTTTGGACTGAAGGGGGTGTATGGGGTGAGCGATTGTGATATTGGAATGCGGTTTGAGATGACGTACTCATATGCAGGGGCTCGTTGTGGTGAGTCGGAACCCGGGAAAGTGACGAATGCGTCGTCCTGCCGGAGGGGTGGCTATTCTCGTTCGACACTCGCCTGCTTGCTGGGGAGCTGGTCCGCGAATGAGGGACGCTGGTACTGGAAGCACGGGCGTGCTGGTTAGGGAGGGACACTTGAGAATTCTTCCGTGCTTGCTGATGGGGAGACAAGGAGAGAGGGTTGGCATCTGAGTGTGGAACCCGAGGACAAGGAGGACTCACTGCGACCATTGCGCGAACGCGGCTTGCGTTGTCTTGGAACGCTTCGGCACGGGAGATCGCATCTGTCTCGGCCGTCTGCGAACCTCCGTAGTCGGAAAACTTGCCCAGTCTGTCTCGCTCAATGCGGAGCCTATCCGAGCGTGTCAGTATGTCAACAATCACACTGCCCCAATCGTCAGAGGACACCTACCCGTCGAGATGACCTTGAATGCTCCTTCGCTTCTCGTATGAGAGGGAGGGTTGGCAGCCGCGGAAGAGCTCCGAAGCCTCAGTCATATGCGCGTCGCCGCGCCGAAGCCGCTCATTGTAGTCCGCCTTCCTGTAGTGTCGAGGCCGGAGTCGAGCAAGGATTCTAGATGATAATCTGTCTCTGGAGATTATTCTCGCAGAGCCAAAGCAATTAAGAGGCGCCTGCGCCGGAGATAAGTCGAGTCCGTAGCTCATGCTGTCGACAAGCTGAGCTGTAGAAGTAGGGGGGAGATGAACGTGAGGAACCTGGAAAATCCGTGAGCACTTCGCAGCTGCTTTATACGCCTCGTGCTACGAGTTCTACGGTTCGGTGTTTCCAGCCGGCCTAGGCTAGGTAGCCGAAAGCCTTGCTGAAGGCATTGTTGTGCAAGGGGCGGCCTGACTAGAGAGTAGCGGCATGGATACGAGAACCAGCGAGCGGCGTTGTCTGTGGTTGTGTACAACAAAAAACCATGAATATTCAACAAGGTCGCTGACGAGAGAAGTTTGAGCTAGTGCACAGAAGCGGCGCAGGACAATTGACAGACCACATTTCTGATGGGCGGAGTATAAGGCTGAACGGAGTTGGCAGGTCGAAAGGCGCGTTTGTTTTGCAAGTGTATGCGTTTGTGGGTCCCCTCCCAGCCGCGCTTGACAATTACGTGGGTTTCTAGGGGTTTCTGCTGTTGTCATTTGTAAGTCTGGCGCCCATGACATGACAGCATATCACTAGCAGGCACGCGCAGTGGAGATGTGGTTGCTGTAATACTGAGTACTCGTACTATAGAGCTTTGGAACAGGAACATCTAATCGCACACAAGCCTTCCACTGGTCACGCGATACACAAGTCGCTCATAGACGCTCAAGGCATTCATAGTCTGACATGCTCCCCATGCTTCCTTTACAAGACACTATGGCCGAGTGGTTAAGGCGACAGATTCGAATTTGATGACATCTGTTTCCCTCTGGGAGCGCAGGTTCAAGTCCTGCTGGTGTCGGATCTTTTTGAAGGACGTCAACACAGGTCTTGGGAGGCATCACCTCTGAATGATGCATATAACAAGTGCGAGGTATAGTAGAAGAAACTGTGGCCCAGTTGAAGAGGGGAACGGGCGATAGTGAGTGAACGAGCATGCAAACTCGTCGGAGGTACCAGCGTACCATCTGATTACCGTCCGTCGCCTTGTTCATCTCTATTTGCATATTATCAGCATGAGACATTCAAAATACATAGCTAGACTCACCGGCGTCGACTATTTTGCACTCGAATAAACAACCAATCCACTGCGGCCCGTACACCGGTACTGTAGAGCATTTCTCGATGAATCACTGAACTAGGTAGAGAAAGGGTTACTCACCCTTCCAATGCGGAAACTCCCATGACATCCAAGCTTGCAATCCGTTCGGAACGATGCTGCATGTCCATCTCCTCGCCATAACTTCGTCTGGCGCTGTCTAGTTTCCGCCTGTACCACTCCTCGTAATCGTTGCGTATTTCCTCTACGGACAGGCTTTGAGGGCTGTCTTGCTTGTTGGCCAGGAGCAGCAAGGGGACACCAAGGATTTGCGGGGCAGATAGAACGGAGTCTTATGTTCCTTGCACGCCGTCAGCATAGAAGCCCACGGAGCGATGGTGGTTGCATGCGCATACCGAACACTTCCCAGCCTTCACTCAACCGTTCCCGGTCATCTGCATCAATCACAAACACCACCGCATGGCAATCGTCGTAGTACCGGTGCCAGATAGAACGTATGCCGCGTTGTCCGCCGAGATCCCAGAACTTCAGAATGGTTGAAGGTAGAGTGATCTTCCCCACTGGACGACGTCAGGATGTTGCCTACTAAGAGGGCTTCATGCGAACACTTACTGTTCTGACCGACTGTGGGTGCAATCTTGTCTGGAGATAGACCTGGTGTGTCATTGTAGAGAGTCTTAATTCTCTCGAGTAACGTCTATGGCAGCGTTGTAGCTTGAAGATATACGCGAACACGAGTGTAACTCACTGTCTTCCCCGCCCCATCTAGCCCAATGATGATGACGGAGAACTCCTCCTTCCTAAGAACTGAGCACACGGATAGCGGGCAGCATTTAGCACATAGCGCACCTCGTGATATACTCGTGCAGGCCCTTCAACAAATGGTACATATCGAACACGACGCGGGAGGCTCAGCACAACCGTGTATAAGTCGAAGCGCCCTTCAATGACGTTGAGTAGCGCGTCTGTACAATCACGGCCAAACATGGGACGGACGAGGCGGTCGTCGTTGCCGACGTCGAGCAGAGTATCCACCCACCAGCCCCGCCGCCATGGGCTTGTATTCGTCGTACTATTCCTATGGACTCCCCACCTTCGTTGCGCTAGTTGTCGCCCTCTACTTGCTTTTCACTGGTTCGTCCTGACCACCGCTGCGGACACGAACGTCCAAATAACATTGACTGGCAACGCTTCAGGGTCCGGAGAGGCTTTCAATGTTGGGCGGTTCCTCGAGGAGACTAGCCCGTATGCATGGGCTTCGACAGGGATTGGTCTCTGTATAGGTCTGAGCGTATTGGGTGCGGGGTGGTACGTCTACTCCTTTGACTTAGACGCGCCATGGCTCAGCTCCTGTGTGTAGGGGCATCTTCATCACCGGTTCCTCTATCCTCGGTGGAGGTGTCAGGGCACCGCGCATTAGAACAAAGAACTTGATCAGGTGTGTTCTCTGCAACCGCGACATGGCGTTCTACGCATCCTCATGCCCTTTTCAGCATCATCTTCTGCGAGGTGGTGGCCATCTACGGTGTCGTATGTCTATGCGCGAATTGTTCGAGGTACTCCCTCACGTATGCTTTCTCAGATCATTGGCATCGTGTATTCTTCCCGTATTGCCGCTGTCTCGGAGTCTCTCCTCTATACTCGCGAAAACTACTTCACAGGTTAGTGACGTGCCCCCAGCCATGTTACGTGTGTTCACATTCATACCCAGGATACGCGCTCTTCTGGGGAGGTCTCACCGTCGGCGCGTGCAATCTCCTCTGCGGTGTCTCCGTCGGCATCGCTGGCTCCACTGCCGCCCTTGCCGATGCCGCGGACCCCGACTTGTTTGTCAAGATCCTCATTGTCGAGGTGTTTGGTAGTATCATGGGTCTGTTCGGTCTCATTGGTGCGTATTCTTCGCTATGATCGCAATCGCTTGGAGTACCTTTGACTCATCCCCTCTAATAGTCGGTCTGCTCATGATTAGCCAGGCAACGGAGTTCACCGCGGCTGCGAGTGCCGCGGTGGCATCACCATTTGTACACTGAAGGACAGTGTCTGCTACTTACGAATGTCATTAATACCCTCTGGACGCTTCGTGAGATAAAGCTCGTATGCGCGTATCTGATCCGCACGCAGGAGTGCCATGCGCTACCGGCGGACCGACGGAGAGAAGCATTATCAATATCAGAAGTCCTCCTATATTGATCAAGTTGACGGCCGTCTCGGAATAACCATATATCAGGTGAGTTCCACATGGGTATGGAATACCGTAACCTGTAAGTAGACAGGACTTCTGCTTCCCTACGTCCCTAGTTATGACCATGCTCTGTTGTTACAGGAACGCTCGGCTTCCCTGTATGCGTAAATTGGCACTTGCTAATCCAGATTGTGGAGGCTCGTACCTGGCTTTTTGCTGCAGGATTCCTGGCGTGCACAGTGTTTACCGTGGAAACGCAACAAGTGTCGAGTGTGTCGGCGTATAACACAAGTTAGTAGAGTCACTGTGCATTGACCAGTTGTCTTCGGCGACTTCAGACATGGGCAGACCGCGGAACGACGTGTGACTGGAGTTCAGGGTCAACCAAGGGTCCAAGTTCCGATCTGCACTACCGCAGCCTTGAGGCCGTTGAGACCGAAGAAATGACGGGTCAAAGTCCCTAGTAAGAATTATCTTTATCCTTCTCATAACCTCACTGAATATTCTTATTCTTCGTCTTTTGGAGATAACTTCTAGTAGTGGATCACTTTGCTATCAAAATTCTCGTGTGAGCTCGCAGATTGAGGCCAATTCGCCTTTGACCGTGATGCCCTCTTCTTTTCAAACATCATCTGTGTCGCGATGAAACTATTCGAGCACTGTCCATTTTGGACCGGCGTCGGATTTGGTCGTGTTCAACCAGTATAGCCTAGCCCGTCGTGTTGACATCTTCCTCTCCTCCTAGATCCTCGTCTTGAGTCCTCTCCCTCTCCTGCAGTATGCCTTCGCGTCGGGGTGCCCAGTACAAGACGTGTTTCAATTGTAAAGAGTCGGGTCACATTTCGTCACAGTGCCCCAAGCCACGCGGGATACTGAACTGGACATGCGGTGGATGTGGCCGGAAAGGCCACACCACGGACGACTGTCCAAATAGAGATGTATGTCGAAGCCCGCTAGTCGTAGGAAGTTGCTGCTGGTCTAACTCTCGCGTTCTCAAGGAATGGGTGTGCAAGAACTGTACGGAACACGGCCACGGACATTGGGAGTGCGAGAAACCCAGAGGCTACCGCTACATGCGATGCGGCATATGCAGTACCGTTGGACATGTGGCAAAGTTCTGTAAGAACCGTCCTGTAAGCTAACACATTTTCTCTCGACGGTGCCGAATGATGATCATATACATAAATCCTGGTCGCGTCCTCGCTCCAAGCAGGGAGGACATGTCGGTCAGTCCTGCCCCCTGCCCACGAAAGGCAAGGCCAAGAAACAACAACCGAACCCGTGGAACCCTTTCGTCGCTTGCGGAGCGTGCGGGAAATATGGGCATAGAAAGGCAGAGTGCACTCAAGACGCCCCATGCTCGGTATGTGAACTCTCACGAGGTGGGGTATTACTCAGGATTCATATCTCTTTTGTAGAATTGCGGGGGTGTCGGTACTCATGGTGTAGACTGCTACACCAATGCAGAGGTCCACTCGCCGTCAAGCGTGAACGCATCGGAGGATACGGCTCGGAGTACCCCCACCCTCGCCTCAGAGTCTAGCTACGAAGCCTCACTCTCCAAGGACAATCTCCCTCCCTCGAAACCGATCGCGCGCTGTACTGACTGTGGTAGCCAAGAACATATCGAAGAGTGAGCAATCTGGCCCGAAGTACGTACTGGTTTGAGCTCATAACCATTTTGATCTCCCAGGGCTTGCCGCATTTTGGACCACCAGTCGGATCAAACGAACAGAGCGGAAGCTCGCGAATGTCATCCAAACCTCGCTGACGGGCCTCCTCAAGGCGCCGTCTCCCCTCGCGACAGTGCGACAGCATACATCGTCAAGCCGCAAGTCGAGAGTCTGTGCAAGCGAGCCAATGAACTTCTGCAAGTCGGTGAGCCCGATGAAGCCATTGCGCTCCTTAGTCGTGCTATTGGTTTGTTGCCTACAGTTCACTGCCTCAACGCGTGCTGACGACCTCCCTCAACGCCACCTTCCAGAACTTGATCCTTCTTACTCCCAGTCATACGTCACGCGAGGGGCCGCTCATGCGCTCAACGGTCATCACAGCGCTGCCCTCATCGACTTTGACACCGCGTCTACCAAGCGTAGCTACGAACCCTCGAAGACCAACTTCCTACAGATAGCACGCAGTCGCCTTCTGCTCGGTTCGTCTTCCGCTGCCTTACTCGCTGTGCGTCAGGCGCTCGCCCTCGACGCTGCAGACGCAGAGGCGCTGCTGCTCCAGAGCCGCATCGTTGCGCTGGACGGGCACGTCGCGGCATACCACGGGGCAGTCTCGCGCAACCATTGGCACATGGCGCGCAGTGCGTACGAGTCCTGCCTTGGGATCTACGCTCAGGAGGACAGTGACGCGCCACCCTCCATCCGGTGCTGGGGCATCGCGTTGCTCGTGGTCGAGAGCGCATGGGAGGATGCGATGAAGTCCGTCAAGTAGGTCATCTTCTGCAAGCTGTAAAGTCGGGCGAGCTGAACATTCGACTACACCTACACCCAGTATACTGCTACGGGAAGTCCCCGACGATGTTGATGCTATGAATCTTCGTGCTTTGGCC